AGAAAATTTTGTTGCCACAAACTCATCATGGTTCTGCATGTTTATCCATTATGTGTTGTGTGATTTACTTCGTCTTTTGTAGAATCATTTATTTGCACCTTTACCTCAAAATGCCTGAATACATTCAGTAGATGGGACTGATGGGCATATAAGGCGGTATCTGTCTGGGACTTAGATCTTACAACCTCAGCTGATATTGAATTAGTCAGTTTATCCAGTGTTAATAATAATAATAATAATTTGGGATTTTGTTATTCTTGAGTGCCTGTTCTTTAAGAAATTCACAAGTGCTCACATCACTTAACCAAGAATATAACACACTGATAAAGAAGAAATACTAGTTTATATTCAAGACTACAATATGATAATCAGGATCTAAAGCTTTAGAGAAGATGTGCTTTCAACTGAGACTTAAATGCAAGAATAGATTCCCGACTACACACACACACACACACATATGAGTATTTTAGCTAATATCTTGGAGTGTGAGCAGGGTAATATTTAGTGAAGGGATTCAGGGAAACCGGTTCTTTTCATATAGTCGGACTTGAGTCCGACACACACACACACACACACACACACACACACACACACACACACACACACACACACACACCACAAACACACGCAAACACACACACGTAAGGACACGTGCACATGCACACACACATGCACACACATGCACACACACAAACACACACAAATGCAGATGGAATAACAAATAAGTATTAGGAGTGGCACAAAAGAATCAAGGAGACATCCCCAGACATAATAGCACTCACAGAAACAAAACTCGCCAGAATAATAACAGATTCAATCTTTTCATCCTGATATCAAATCCTCAGGAAAGACAGAGGGAGGAGAGGGGGAGGAGGAGTTGCACTGCTCATTAAAAACCAGTGGGGTTTTGAGAAAATGGAAGGAATGGATGGCACGGGCAAAAGCGACTACTTAGTTGGAACAATCTAGTCTGAGGGACATAAGGTGATAATTGCAGTAATGTACAACCCACCACAGAACTGCAGGAGGCCAAGAGAAGAATACGATGAGAGCAACAGAGTAATGGTCGACACACTAGTCGAGGTGGCCAGGAGAGCACACATGGGGGGAGCAAAGTTACTAGTTATGGGTGATTTCAGTCACAAGGAGATTGACTGGGAAAACCTGGAGCCCCATGGGGGTCCCAAAACATGGAGAGCCAAGATGATGGATGTGGTACTGGAAAACCTCATGCATCAACATGTTAGAGACACTACCAGAGAGAGAGGAGAGGATGAACCAGCAAGACTGGACCTTGTATTCACCTTGAGTAGTTCGGACATCGAGGGTATCATCTATGAAAGGCCCCTGGGAGCTAGTGATCACGTGGTTCTGTGCTTCGGCTACATAGTTGAGCTCCAAGTGGAGAGAGTAGCAGGAATAGGTTGGGAAAAACCAAACTACAAAAGGGGTAACTACTCAGGCATGAGGAACTTCCTGCAAGACATTCAGTGGGAGAGAGAACTGACAGGAAAACCAGTACAAGAAATGGACTATGTGGCAACAAAATGCAAGGAGGCAGAGGAGAGGTTTGTTCCCAAGGGAAACAGAAATAATGGGAAGAGCAGAACGAGTCCTTGGTTCACCCAAAGGTGTAGGGAGGCAAAAACTAGGTGTACTAGAGAATGGAAAAGATACAGAAGACAGAGAACTCAGGAAAATAAAGAGATTAGCCGAAGAGCCAGAAACGAATATGCACAGATCAGAAGGGAGGCTCAGCGACAATATGAAAATGACATAGCATCGAAAGTCAAGTCTGACCCGAAGCTGTTGTACAGCCACATCAGGAGGAAAATAACAGTCAAGGACCAGGTAATCAGACTGAGGAAGGGTGATGGGGAGTTCACAAGAAACGACCAAGAGGTATGTCAGGAGCTCAACACGAGACTTAAAGAAGTATTTACAGTGGAAACTAGTAGGACTCCAGGAAATCAGAACAGGGGGGTACACCAGCAAGTGCTGGATGAGGTACATATAACCAAGGAGGAGGTGAAGAAGCTGCTATGCGAACTTGACACCTCAAAGGCGGTGGGACCAGAAAACATCTCTCTGTGGGTCCTTAAAGAGGGAGCAGAGGTACTGTGTGTGCCATTAACAAAGATCTTCAAAACATCAATTGAAACTGGGCAACTCCCTGAGGTATGGAAGATGGCAAATGTAGTCCCAATTTTTTAAAAGGGAGATAGACATGAGGCACTAAACTACAGACCTGTATCACTAACGTGTATAGTATGAAAGGTCATGGAGAAGATCATCAGGAGGAGAGTGGTGGAGCACCTGGAAAGAAACAAGTGTATAATTGACAACCAGCACGGTTTCAGGGAAGGAAAATCTTGTGTCACAAACCTACTAGAGTTTTATGACAAGGTGACAGAAGTAAGACGAGAGAGAGGGGTGGATCAACTGCATTTTTTTGGACTGCAAGAAGGCCTTCGACACAGTTCCTCACAAGAGATTACTGCAAAAGCTAGAGGATCAGGCACACATAACAGGAAAGGCACTGCAATGGATCAGAGAATACCTGACAGGGAGGCAACAACGAGTCATGGTACGTGACGAGGTGTCAGAGTGGGCGCCTGTGACAAGCGGGGTTCCACAGGGGTCAGTCCTAGGACCTGTGCTGTTCTTGGTATATGTGAACGACATAATGGAAGGGATAGACTCGGAAGTGTCCTTGTTTGCAGATGATGTGAAGTTAATGAGAAAAATCAAATCGGATGAGGATCAGGCAGGACTACAAAGAGACCTGGACAGGCTACAGCAACTGGCTCCTTGAGTTTAACCCTGCCAAATGCAAAGTCATGAAGATTGGGGAAGGGCAAAGAAGACCGCAGACACATTATAGTTTAGATGGCCAAAGACTGCAAACCTCACTCAAGGAAAAAGATCTGGGGGTGAGTATAACACCGAGCATATCTCCTGAGGTGCACATCAATCAGATAACTGCTGCAGCATACGGGCGCCTGGCAAACCTACGGATAGCGTTCTGATACCTCAGTAAGGATTCGTTCAAGACTCTGTATACCATTTACGTCAGGCCCATACTGGAGTATGCAGCACCAGTTTGGAATCCACACCTAGTCAAGCACGTCAAGAAATTAGAGAAAGTGCAAAGGTTTGTAACAAGACTAGTCCCAGAGCTACGGGGATTGTCCTACGAAGAAAGGTTGAGGGAAATCGGCCTGACGACACTGGAGGACAGGAGGGTCAGGGGAGACATGATAACAACATATAAAATACTGCGCAGAATAGACAAGGTGGACAAAGACGGGATGTTCCAGAGAAGGGACACGACACAATAGGTCACAATTGGAAGTTGAAGACTCAGATGAATCAAAGGGATGTTAGGAAGTATTTCTTCAGTCATAGAGTAGTCAGGCTGTGGAATAGCCTAGAAAGTGACGTAGTGGAGGCGGGAACCATACATAGTTTTAAGGCAAGGTATGATAAAGCTCATGGGGCAGGGAGAGAGAGGACCTAGTAGCAATCAGCGAAGAGGCGGGGCCAGGAGCTGTGACTCGACCCCTGCAACCACAAATAGGCGAGTACAAATAGGTGAGTACACACTCCTGAAGCGCACATCAACCAAATAACTGCTGCAGCATATAGGCGCCTAGCAAACCTCAGAACAGCATTCCGACATCTCAATAAGGAATCGTTCAGGACCCTGTACACCGTGTACGTTAGGCCCATATTGGAGTATGCGGCACCAGTTTGGAACCCACACCTAGCCAAGCACGTAAAGAAACTAGAGAAAGTACAAAGGTTTGCAACAGGACTAGTCCCAGAGCTAAGATGTATGTCGTGCGAGGAGAGGTTAAGGGAAATAAGTCTGACGACACTGGAGGACAGGAGAGATAGGGGGGACATGATAACGACATACAAAATACTGAGAGGAATTGACAAGGTGGACAAAGACAGGGTGTTCCAGAGATGGGACACAGCAACAAGGGGTCACAATTGGATGTTGAAGACTCAGACGAGCCACAGGGATGTTAGGAAGTATTTCTTCAGCCACAGAGTAGTCAGGAAGTGGAATAGTTTGGGAAGCGATGTAGTGGAGTCAGGATCCATACATAGCTTTAAGCAGAGGTATAATAAAGCTCAAGGTTCAGGGAGGGTGACCTAGTAGCGACCAGTGAAGAGGCGGGGCCATGAGCTTGGACTCGACCCCTGCAACCTCAATTAGGTGAGCACGCACGCACACACACACACACACACACACACACACACACACACACACCCACACACACACACACACACACACACACACACACACACACACAGCGATGTAGTGGAGGCAGGATCCATACATAGCTTTAAGCAGAGGTATGATAAAGCTCACGGCTCAGGGAGAGTGACCTAGTAGCGATCAGTGAAGAGGCGGGGCCAGGAGCTCGGACTCGACCCCCGCAACCTCAACTAGGTGAGTACAACTAGGTGAATACATACATACAACACACACACACCACACACACACACACACACACACACACACACACACACACACACACACACACACATACATACATACATACATACATACATATATATATTCACACTCACTGGCAATCTATTGAATAATCCAGGAGCTACATAAGGAAAGGCTCTTTCAGGGACTAACTTCTCCCCAACAGCATGAGACTCAATCAGTCTAAAAGGATTCATGGCAATTTGCAGAAATATTCCTTATCCCAATTCTATCAGCAAGATACTTTGGTTCATTAAACTAAATTGTTGTGAATGTTAATAAGTAGAATTTAAATTCAGTTACTGCCCTGATATGGGACGAGTGCAGTTCATACAAATAGGGACTGGTGGGAATCCACAGTTGGGAGCGAAAGTACCAGTCATCTTAAATGTTAGAATGGGACAGTCCTACTTAAGCTTCTTTATACATAGTTACAATGTTTTTTATTCTTATTTTGAGTTGTACTTGATTGGTCTTTTTATTTTTTCAGGTGACCTGACACCAGATGAGCGAGTGCGAATATTGATCCGCTTCCGCGAGGGCACTGAAAGGGTGCTCATATGCACCAATGTCCTTGCCCGAGGGATTGATGTTGACACAGTAAGTCCAGTAATATTTGTCTTGATCATCTGTTATATCAAATGTTGAGTACAAACTTTGTATTTATTAATAGGTCAAGAGATTAGTATAAACACTATCTTAGTATCTGAGGGTACCTAACTTACATTTCATATTGTAACTCTTCTTCTTTCAACAAACCGGCCATATCCCACCAAGGCAGGGTGGCCCAAAAAGAAAAACAAAAGTTTCTTTTTTTAACTTTAGTAATGTATACAGGAGAAGGGGTTACTAGCCCCTTGCTCCTGGCATTTTAGAAGCCTCTTAAAACACACATGGCTTACGGAGGAAGAATTCTGTTCCACTTTCCCATGATGATGAGAGGAAATAAACAAGAATAAGAACTAGTAAGAAATAGAAGAAAACCCAGAAGGGTGTGTACTCACCTATTTGTGGTTGCAGGGGTCGAGTCACAGCTCCTGGCCCCGCCTCTTCGCTGATTGCTACTAGGTCCTCTCTCTCCCTGCCCCATGAGCTCTATCATACCTCGCCTTAAAACTATGTATGGTTCCCGCCTCCACTACGTCACTTTCTAGGCTATTCCACGGCCTGACTACTCTATGACTGAAGAAATACTTCCTAACATCCCTTTGATTCATCTGAGTCTTCAACTTCCAATTGTGACCTCTTGTGTCTGTGTCCCTTCTCTGGAACATCCCGTCTTTGTCCACCTTGTCTATTCCGTGCAGTATTTTATATGTCGTTATCATGTCTCCCCTGACCCTCCTGTCCTCCAGTGTCGTCAGGCCGATTTCCCTCAACCTTTCTTCGTAGGACAATCCCCGTAGCTCTGGGACTAGTCTTGTTGCAAACCTTTGCACTTTCTCTAATTTCTTGACGTGCTTGACTAGGTGTGGATTCCAAACTGGTGCTGCATACTCCAGTATGGGCCTGACGTAAATGGTATACAGAGTCTTAAACGAATCCTTACTGAGGTATCGGAACGCTGTCTGTAGGTTTGCCAGGCGCCCGTATGCTGCAGCAGTTATCTGATTGATGTGCGCCTCAGGAGATATGCTCGGTGTTATGCTCACCCCCAGATCTTTTTCCTTGAGTGAGGTTTGCAGTCTTTGGCCATCTAAGCTATATTGTGTCTGCGGTCTTCTTTGCCTTTCCCCAATCTTCATGACTTTGCATTTGGCAGGGTTAAATTCAAGGAGCCAGTTGCTGGACCAGGCTTGTAGCCTGTCCAGGTCTCTTTGTAGTCCTGCCTGATCCTCATCCGATTTGATTCTTCTCATTAACTTCGCATCATCTGCAAACAAGGACACTTCTGAGTCTATCCCTTCCGTTATGTCGTTCACATATACCAAGAACAGCACAGGTCCTAGGACTGACCCCTGTAGAACCCCGCTTGTCACAGGCGCCCACTCTGACACCTTGTCGCGTACCATGACTCGTTGTTGCCTCCCTGTCAGGTATTCTCTGATCCATTGCAGTGCCTTTCCTCTAATGTGTGCCTGATCCTCTAGCTTTTGCAGTAGCCTCTTGTGAGGAACTGTGTCGAAGGCCTTCTTGCAGTCCAAAAATATGCAGTCGATCCACCCCTCTCTCTTGTCTTACTTCTGTCACCTTGTCATAAAACTCTAGTAGGTTTGTGACACAGGATTTTCCTTCCCTGAAACCGTGCTGGTTGTCAATTATACACTTGTTTCTTTCCAGGTGCCCCACCACTCTCCTCCTGATGATCTTCTCCATGACCTTGCATACTATACACGTTAGTGATACAGGTCTGTAGTTTAGTGCCTCATGTCTGTCTCCCTTTTTAAAAATTGGGACTACATTTGCCATTTTCCATACCTCAGGGAGTTGCCCAGTTTCAAATGATGTGTTGAAGATCTTTGTTAATGGCTCACATAATATCTCTGCTCCCTCTTTAAGGACCCATGGAGAGATGTTGTCTGGTCCCACCGCCTTTGAGGTGTCAAGTTCGCATAGCAGCTTCTTCACCTCCTCCTTGGTTATATGTACCTCATCCAGCACTTGCTGGTGTGCCCCCCTGTTCTGATTTCCTGGAGTCCTACTGCTTTCCACTGTAAATACCTCTTTAAATCTTGTGTTGAGCTCCTGACATACCTCCCGGTCGTTTCTTGTGAATTCCCCATCACCCTTCCTCAGTCTGATTACCTGGTCCTTGACTGTTGTTTTCCTCCTGATGTGGCTGTACAACAGCTTCGGGTCAGTCTTTACTTTTGATGCTATGTCATTTTCATATTGTCTCTGAGCCTCCCTTCTTATCTGTGCATATTCGTTTCTGGCTCTTCGGCTGATTTCTTTATTTTCCTGAGTTCTCTGTCTTCTGTACCTTTTCCATTCTCTAGTACACCTAGTTTTTGCCTCCCTACACCTTTGGGTGAACCAAGGACTCGTTCTGTTCTTCCCATTATTTCTGTTTCCCTTGGGAACAAACCTCTCCTCTGCCTCCTTGCATTTTGTTGCTACATAGTCCATCATTTCTTGTACTGGTTTTCCTGTCAATTCCCTCTCCCACTGAATGTCTTGAAGGAAGTTCCTCATGCCTGAGTAGTTCCCCCTTTTGTAGTTTGGTTTTTCCCAGCCTATTCCTGCTACTCTCTCAACTTGGAGCTCAACTATGTAGTCGAAGCACAGAACCACATGATCACTAGCTCCCAGGGGCCTTTCATAGATGATACCCTCGATGTCCGAACTACTCATGGTGAATACAATGTCCAGCCTTGCTGGTTCATCCTCTCCTCTCTCTCTGGTAGTGTCTCTAACATGTTGATGCATGAGGTTTTCCAGTACCACATCCATCATCTTGGCTCTCCATGTTTTGGGACCCCCATGGGGCTCCAGGTTTTCCCAGTCAATCTCCTTGTGATTGAAATCACCCATAATTAGTAACTTTGCTCCCCCCGTGTGTGCTCTCCTGGCCACCTCGGCTAGTGTGTCGATCATTGCTCTGTTGCTCTCATCGTATTCTTCTCTTGGCCTCCTGCAGTTCTGTGGTGGGTTGTACATTACTGCAATTATCACCTTATGTCCCTCAGACTGGATTGTTCCTACTAAGTAGTCCCTTTCGCCCGTGCCATCCATTCCTTCCATTTTCTCAAAATCCCACTGGTTTTTAATGACCAGTGCAACTCCTCCTCCCCCTCTCCTCCCTCTGTCTTTCCTGAGGATTTGGTATCCGGATGGAAAGATTGTATATATATATGTTTGTACATACATGTGTAGTATGACCTAATGTAAGTAGAAGTAGCAAGACGTACCTGAAATCTCGCATGTTTATGAGACAAAAAAAAAAAAGACACCAGCAATCCTACCATGTAAAACAATTACAGGCATCTGTTTTAAACTCACTTGGTAGGATGATAGTACCTTCCTAGGCAGTTGATGTCTACCAGCTTACTACCCAGGATATTGTAAATGTGATGTATGATATGAATAGTATTCCTGTGATGCATTACATTTCATGCAAAACACCCACAGGGAGAGGTGAATGATAGCTCTAGGCCCCTGTGATTGTTTTTCATCTTGTGTTGCTTGTTTGCAATTATTGCATTACATATCATATATAGGGTGGATGAGATGAATAGCATTAATTTTTGTCTTGCACATATTAGGCTCTGTCTTTCTCTTTCCAGGCTTGTTCTCTCTTAATAATTCACTTTTTTTATCACTTTCCATTTTAGTTTTATTAAACCTACCATTTATTTTTTCCATGTGACATTCGTTTTTCTTTCATATATTTTTTTTACCTGTTATTTATCTTCTTTGTTTCTGTTGCCTACCTCTCTTTTTTTCTTAACACGACGGCCGTTTCTCATCGAGGCAGGGTGACCCAAAAAGAAAGAAAAACCCAAATAGAAAGGAAAAACTTTCATTATCATTCAATACTTTCACCATCACTCATACATAATCACTATATTTGCAGAGGCTCCCAGATATGACAGTTTAGATAGTCACTCCAAACTGCCAATATCCCACACCCCTCCTTTAAAGTGCAGGCATTGTACATCCCATTTCTAGGACTCAAATCTGGCTAACTGGTTTTCCTGAATCCCTTCACAAAATATTTCCTTGCTCACACTCCAACAGCTCATCAGGTTCCAAAAACCATTCGTATCCATTTACTCCTGTCTAACATGCTCACGAATGCTTGCTGGAAGTCCAAGCCCCTCATCCACAAAACCTCCTTTACCCCCTCCCTTCAGCCTTTTTGAGGACAACCCCTACCCAGCCTTCCTTTCCGTACAGATTTATATGCTCTCCAAGTCATTCTACTTTGTTCCATTCTCTCTAAATGACCACACTACCTCAACAACCCCTCTTCAGCCCTCTGACTAATACTTTTAGTAACTCCACACCTAATTTCCACACTACAAATTCTCTGCATAATATTGACACCACACATTGCCTTAGACAAGACATCTCAACTGCCTCCAGCCACCTCCTCGCTACTGCATTTACATCCCAAGCTTCACACCTATATAAGAGTGTTGGTACCACTATACTCTTGTACATTCCCTTCTTTGCCTCCATTAACCCGTAAACGGTCCAAGCAGATCTACGTTCACATGTGTAGTGCTACAAAAGTAGATCTATGTTTTTTTACACATTTTCAAATGTAACAAAAAAAAAAAGTAGATCAAAGTTTTTTGCACATTTTCAAATGTAAAAAAACAAAAAGAAGATCTACTTTTTTACATACTTTCAAATGTTGAAAAAACGTATATAGACGTTTGGACCATTTACGGGTTAATAACGTTTTGTGTCTCAACAGATACCTCAACGCACCACTCACCTTTTTAACTTCATCAATTCTATAGTTAGACTTTTTTTTTTTTCTCTCTCTCCAACAAGTCGGCCGTCTCCTACCGAGGCAGGGTGACCCAAAGAGAAAGAAAATCCCCAAAAAGAAAATACTTTCATCATCATTCAACACTTTCACCTCACTCACACATAATCATTGTTTTTGCAGAGGTGCCCAGAATACAACAGCTTAGAAGTATATACGTATAAAAATACACAATATATCTCTCCAAACTGCCAATATCCCAAACCCCTCCTTTAGAGTGCAGGCATTGTACTTCCCATTTCCAGGACTCAAGTCTGGTTATATAAAATAACCAGTTTCCCTGAATCCCTTCACTAAATATTACCCTGCTCACACTCCAACAGATCGTCAGGTCCCAATTCCATTTGTCTCCATTCACTCCTATCTAATGCGCTCAAGCACGCTTGCTGGAAGTCCAAACCCCTTGCCCACAACACCTCCTTTACCCCCCTCCCTCCAACCTTTTCGAGGACAACCCCTACCCCGCCTTCTTTCCCCTACAGATTTATACGCTCTCCATGTCATTCTACTTTGATCCATTCTCTCTAAATGACCAAACCACCTCAACAAACCCTCTTCAGCCCTCTGACAATACTTTTATTAACTCCACACCTTCTCCTAATTTCCACACTCCGAATTTTCTGCATAATATTTACACCATACACTCTTAGACGGGACATCTCCACTGCCTCCAACCGCCTCCTTGCTGCAGCATTTACAACCCAAGCTTCGCATCCATATAAGAGTGTTGGTACTACTATACTTTGATTCATTCCCGTCTTTGCCTCCATAGATAACATTTTTTGCCTCCACATATACCTCAAAGCACCACTCACCTTTTTTCCTTCATCAATTCTATGATTAACCTCATCCTTCATAAATCCATCTGCTGACAAGTCAGCTCCCAAATATCTGAAAACATTCACTTCTTCCATACTCCCTCTCTCCAATGTGATATTCAATTTTTCTTTATCTAAATTGTTTGATACCCTCATCACCTTACTCTTATCTGTGCTCACTTTCAACTTTCTACGTTTACACACCCTCCCAGACTTGTCCACTAACCTTTGAAACTTTTCTTTAGAATCTCCCATAAGCACAGTATCATCAGCAAAATGTAACTATGTCAACTCACATTTTATATTTGATTCCCCATAATTTAATCCCACCTTTCTCCCCAACATCCTAACATTTACTTCTTTTACAACCCCATCTATAAATATATTAAACAACCATGATGACATTACACATCCCTGTCTAAGACCTACTTTTACTGGGAAGTAGTCTCCCTCTCTTCTACACACCCTAACCTGAGCCTCACTATCCTCATAAAAACTCTTTACAGCATTTAGTAACTTACTACCTATTCCATATACTTGCAACATCTGCCACATTGCTCTCCTGTCCACTCTATCATATGCCTTTTCTATATCCATAAATGCAATGAAAACTTCCCTACTTTTCTCTAAATACTGTTCACATATATGCTTCAATGTCAGCACTTGATCTACACATCCCCTAACCACTCTAAAGCCTCCTTGCTCATCTGTAGTCCTGCTCTCTGTCTTACCTCTAATTCTTTCAATAATAATCCTACCATACACTACCTGGTATACTCAGTAAATTTAATCCTCTATAATTTTACAATCTTTTTTGTCCTCCTTCCTTATATATAAAGGAACTATACATGCTCTCTTCCAATCCCTAGGTACCTTCCCCTCTTTCATACATTTATTAAACAACAAGACCATCCACTATAACAATATATCCCCCTGCTTTTAACATGTCTGTCATTATCCAGTCAGTTCCAGCTGCTTTACCCGTTCATTCTACATAATGCCTCACACACCTCCCCCACACTCACATCCTGCTTTTCTTCACTCCTAAAAGAGGTTATACCTCCCTGGCCAGTGCATGAAATTACCGCCTCCCTTTCTTCATCGACATTTAAAGTTCCTCAAAATATTCCTGCCATCTACCCAATACCTCCATCTCCCCATCTACTAGCTCTTCTACTGTGTTTTTAACTGACAGCTCCATTTGTTCCCTAGGCTTTCTTAACCTGTTTATCTCACTCTCCAAAATTTCTTGACAGTGCTTCTCTTACTCTATCATTTGCTCTCCTTTTGCACTCTCTCACCACTGTGTTCACCTTTCTTTTATTCTCCATATACCCTGCCCGTCTTATATCACTTCTGTTTTGTAAAAACCTCTCATACGCTACCTTTTTCTCTTTTATCACACCCTTTACTTCTTCATTCCACCAATCACTCCTCTTTCCTCCTGCCCCCACCCTCCTATAGCCACAAACTTTTGCCCCACATTCTAATACTGCATTTTTAAAACTATTCCCATCCCTCTTCAACCCCCCCACGACCCATACTTACACTAGCCCACCTTTCCGCCAGTAGTTGCTTATCTCGCTCTAACGTCCTCCTCCCTGAGTTATTTACAGTTGGCAAAGTTGGCAGTAGATCAGTGTGGATAAAATATTTGGTTAAATGAAGTTTTTTATATTTTTAGGTCAACTTAGTGGTCAACTATGATCTCCCAGTATTACATGGGAGTTTTAGGGCAGACTGTGAGACGTACTTACATAGAATTGGTCGTACTGGTCGCTTTGGTAAGACTGGCAATGCCATTAATATTGTAGATGGCCAAGATGACCTCCGGTTACTGAGAGAAATTGAGGATCACTTCAGTAAGTAGCTGAGATTTCATGATTTTAACCCATGTTTTATAACTATAAATCGTTTGCCCTTATTTTCATGGAATTCTGTTGTCACAGATGCATCAGTAAAACTATTTATTATAATTGTTTCTAATGTGATAAAATCTCTTAAGTTTGTTTAATATTTTAATTACAGATATCAAAATTATCAAACTGGACTACAACAACATTGATGAAATTGAGAAACTTAGTGAAGACTAAAGTAACATTGTTGATAACATAGCTATTCAGTATTTTGCAAATAAGTTACTTAAGCTTTCAGTCAGTCATAATTGAATGATATAAACCACAAACTTGCATAAAATACAAAGTATTGGGCATTATTTGTCATTTTATCATATAGTGCAGCGCATTGACAGTAGATAAGCAAGCCTCGTTCAGCACAGAGAACTGAATCTGACCCTCGTGCAGCACAGAGAACTGAACCTCAACCTCGTGCAGCACACTATTACAACAGTACACTATTACAACACTCAAGGACGTGTTTTAAGATAAGAGCTTTTGGAAATGATGAATGGCGGAAAACTATTGATTTTACAGAAATCCTGGAAATTTAAAAATATATGACTATGAGCTTGTACAGTATATCACTGAATTATTACACATGGTGTTTAGAGCTTTGAAAGAGAAATGAGTAGATTCACAGGCATGAACAGCAGGTTGACTTGCAAATATATTATGACTACAGTATTGAAATGCTAACAAGTATATTTCATCACATGTGAATGAGCTTTATTGTTACTGAGCTCTCCTTCGTATACTTTCTTATGCATCAACTCTTATTTAGTTTTAAGGATTCATCAAGACACATCATTTATAATGCACATAGAAATTATTCAGTGTAGTTCCTCCATGCATTAAGTCTCACAACCCCAACCTGCACGATGTCGATCGCTGCATGTCCATGTTTTTTTCCATAAATTTCATTGTAAAATTGTTCCTCTCATGTATAATAATACATTAAGTACTTTTAGCGCTGTTGTAGAAATTACAGTGCTGTTATAGGTAACAATTAGTATTATTGAAATTAAAGAAGATTTGTATTTTTTAATACAGTAAGCATGTTAAAGCAGTTTAATGGTGATAAATGATATTTATATTTTAAGCAATCATGGCCTTCCGAAAAGGTGCAAAGATTTATTTTAAGTCTAGAAATAACGATGTTCATTAATGTTGATGAATCTGAATGTGTATTGGTTCACGTTATGACCAGTCAAGAAAAAAATGGTCAATGAGCTCTGCTTTATATTTCTGATCTGTACATCATATATATGTGAGAGATGTGCTGATTATTGTAATGTAGTACAGTACGGTATATTACTAAAACTCATTATTTGTAATGTTGATAAAATGGCAGATGGTTGCTCCTTTTTTCTGCAGTACATGTTCAGCAGAGGGGGAAAGGGTTTTGTGGAAATACAGTAGGTATTAATAAGGACTTAAGCAATAATGTATTAGGTTGATGGATAAGATAAATTAATGATAAATCAATAGCTGAGCACATTATATACTGTATATTGTATCTTTGTGATTGGGCTCTCCAGCCATGTTAATGTGCCCACTCACAGACCATTACAATGCTGACACCAGGTCTCTAAAAGTGCCCTTGGTAAGGAAACCCTCACATTATTATCTGTGCCTGAAACCATTCTTTTTTTAATTCTTCACACATCTTATTACCATGTTTTATATTATATTTCAAGGACTTCAAAAGTTTTACTGATGTGACTTAGTGTTTAATAATAATAAAAAGGAGAACCATTACCTCTACTTGATGTTAGTATATGAGAGCGGCTTTTGATCCCTCCGACTGAGGATTTGTTGTGTTTACAATGTAAGGATATGCTGAATATTGTACAATGAAGAAACAAACTGTGATAAGTATCATCAAAGTGGACATATTTCTGTTCTCTGTGGAAATCCTTTACGAAATGTCCATGGTGTATGCAGATTACCTGCCAATTTCCTTGAAAAAAAAAAAACTTTTAAAAGGATTGATAGGAAATGAACACTTTAATAAAAAATGTGATGTACATATAGTATAAATATATATCATAAAACGGAAGACTTGATACACAGTAAGGAAGAATACTTTGGGTATGTTGTCAAATTTTATGGAGAATAGAAGAATAAGGTTTTAAAGGAATTTGGCCATAATCTTGCAGTAATGTTAGTACATATTCATTACATAGTCATATTGTTAAAAGTCATTGTTGTGTAGTGTGATATGGGTCATTTTTAATTTTACACTTTTATAAAAATGAGTAAATTTTTTATTACAAATACCTCTGCTGTATCAATTCAGAAATGTCATATGAAATAATTATATTTAGACAATGTGTATCATGTAATATTTTAGATATTGAAAAAAGAAATAACTTGCAATAAGTGACATAGACTGAGGTAAAGAAATAAGTTGCAACAAGTAATATAGAGTGATAGTGCAGTTAGTGGTGTTACACAAGCAGTTGTTGTACACTCCCTGCAGCAACACACTTATGGAGGGCATTTTACCAACACTTCCACTCTTGCCATAACACACCACTACATGACTGCTCTACATTTTTTGAAAAATGTATTACACATTTTATCATGTTTCACATGGGGTAAGATATAAATGCTGCTGCTTTTAAATTAATTTTATTGTTTTAGGTACTTGTGGGTAATGCACAAACCCATGAAAAGTAAGAGGAAATAAACATTGATCTGCCTTCGTTGCTCTTTCTCAACATTATAATTATGTGTTGCCCATACATTGCTTTTAAATCATTTAAAAATAGCTGGAGAAAATTAAGCTATAATTTTGGAGTGTAAAGTATATGAAGCAACATTGGCATGGTTAAGCAAACTGAAATTTCTCTTATCATGAATGTAGCACATTATAACTGCACTACTCGCATTAAAAGAATCTTAACAGCATCCAAGGATAATGGTTGTCCTCACTGGTGGCTCTCCAAATTCTCTCTTAAGAACAGATTTCTCCTGTTGGTAGAGTGATTACTATCTTCACCTGTCAACCTCTTCAAGGGAAGCTCCTTGGCACAGTGAAGAGGCTATCGGTCTGAGGAATTAGACCTCTTGGTCTTCTTCCTCAGACCAAACCTAATTAACCCCCAATCCCCCTTCCCTACCCATCCTCCCCAACACCCCTTTCCCTTTCCTCCTCCTCTCCCCATCCTTCCACTTTCCCTTTCCTGTTGCTGCCTTTGAGGTTGTTTCCTTAGGCTTTGTAGTTCCTACACCTGAGAAGGGACTCCAGGGTCCATCATCTTCCATTGTGTGTCCTTGGTGGTAGTGTAGTTTGCCCTGGAATCTGGATCATCTAGAGATCCCGATCCCTCCGGTTTACCGGGGAGAAGTCTTTAGGTGTCTCTCAGGTGACAGATGTACAGTGGTTCCCCGGGTTTCATACACCTCCCAACTCTAGCAATTATGTAAGTGCTTTTGTAAGTGTATTTTTGGGGGTCTGAAATGGACTAATCTAATTTACATTATTCCTTATGAGAACAAATTTGTTCGGTAACGGTACTCGAACAGCCTTCTGGAACGAATTATGACCGAAACTTGGGGTACCGCTGTATCTCTGGAGGCTGCCTGTCGGATTCCAGGAGGTAGTGGCTGACAGAGGTATGCTTTGTGGTGGGTTTCTAACCACCCTCCCTTTTGTCCACCAAGGTGGCTCGGTAGATGTGAGGTTGCTATCCCAGGTTGCTGGTTTACTGGCTTGAAGGGGAGGGTATGGCACAGATTCCGTGCCACATCTGCACTACCGGCTGCGCTGAGATTGTCCTCTTGGGCATAGAAGGGAAGACTTGCAGTCCTTTTCCCCTGAAAGCTGTCCCTTCGTGCTTCCCCCCCCCACCTGTTTTTTTTTTTTTTTTCCTTCTTTAAAACAAAGGAAAAGAGAAACTTAACTATGGACGTCCAAGTCCATGTACCTCCTCCTCCTTCTGGGCCCCTTCCTGTAGCAGCACCCTCTGACAACCCTGCCTTGTTACCAGACCTTTCTACTGCCCCTGTATCTTCTGCAGGTGACATTTTGTCCCACACCTCGGATACAGAGGCTTGGCCTGACTCCATTGACACCTCTGCCCTCCACACATCTTGGACAATGCTTCTGGCTTCTCCCCATACAGTGCGACGGTTTTCAAATCGATTGCCCACCTCAAAAAGGACCACCTCCGCTCCTGTATCGAAACGACCACAACCTTCTTCTGATGACACTGTTGCGATTGATTCTCATTCTACTTGGAAAAGACCAACACAACAGTCACTTTCTTTACATACTACCCATCATAGTACACAATGGACAAGTTTTTTCACTCTACAATTGACATCTTCAGAATATCTTTCTCATCATAGTACCAGCAAGGCACTTGTACGCCATGTTGGTCATAATATTCCGTTTCATGCTCTCAAGCAGTGCATGCATCATCACAGTACAGAATGCTAGCCAAGCTCACAATCTCTCTCTCCTTACAACCATAAATGCCATTCCTGTGACAACTGAAAAACATCTCTCAGTTCTTGCAGTGGTACTGTCATTCTACCACATAACCATTGTTCAATGTAATTTCCAGACATGTGGTGATGACATTCTGGAACAGCTCGAGCTCCAAGACTTCCCGATACTTAGAGTAGACACGTATGTACTGCCTGCCCGCAGGCGGAGACGCTACCCCTGCAATGTAGCTCGTTTAACTTTTGACTGCCGTGAGCTTCCATCATCGGTTTATATTGCGGGGACACTGTTTACAAGTCAAACAGGTAATCCCTACACCACAACAGTGTAGAAATTGCTAGCGGTATGGCCATTCAGAAAAATATTGTAGGTCCATAGCTGAATGCCCAGATGACCATTGCATTGTTAGTACAAGTGCTGAAGATATTAAGGATACAGAAAAACATGCACCAGTAGGGAATGCAGCCACGAAAATCCAAAGCAAACAGAAATCAAACCTATGCCAATTCTATGCCTTAGGTATCTGCAGGCAAGGAATATCTGAAAAAAAACAGATGGGACGTGCGACTTGGACCACCCCAGAAAATGCTGTGCCCATATGACAGCAGGAAAATGCAACCTTCCTTCGTGTAAGTTTTTCCACCTTGAAATGTGTCACACTTCAGTTCAGGAAAGACAACGTTATAACTTATATTGCCAGGCACACCACCTAAAAGGGACAAGAAGATACAGAACATCCAGACCATAGGAAAACCTGGGTAGCCACAGCCATGCAAGGAAGAAAAAAAAAAAGCGGGCAGGAAATGACAAAAATAGTACACCAACTCTGATCATTTCTGGAGTGGAATTACAGTCAGTGGCCTCCACTTCAAAACAACAGATATAAGTGCCAGGAAAAAAAGACCCCCACATACCACCAATACAACATTCATCTTTGCAAATATACAAGGTCCAAAGCCAGCAACAAACAACAAATACCTTTCAGCCATGGACTGCTTACAGAGTCGAATGCAATACACACACAACCCACACATAGAAGAGAGGAGCTTACGACGACGTTTCGGTCCGACTTGGACCATTTACAAAGTCAAATGCAATGTTCATGCTATTCACAGAGACCCACATAACTGATCACATTGACAATGAAATATGGATCCTGGGTTATAACCTCTACAGATGTGACAGAGTAAACAGGCAAAAGGGGAAAGGGGTTGACCTGTACATCACAGAGTCACTGATATGCTTGGAACTACTAAATGCCTCAAATGATGATGTTTTAGCAGTAAAGATCGAGAACCAAAACCTAGTCATTGTGGTTGTATACAAGCCTCTGGATGCAACTTCCCAACAATTCCAGGAATAGCTTTTGAAAATAGACCAATGTCCAGGAAAAATCTTCCAGCTCCTGCCCCAAACATCTTGCTCTTGGGGGATTTCAACCTAAGGCACTTAAAATGGAGAAATGTAGCAAATAATGCTGTAGTAGAGATAACCTCAGGAGGCAGCTCAGATGAAAACTCGCATACACATGAGCTTTTAAATATCTGTGCCAAATTCACATCAAACCACAAATATGTAATAAAGCCTACAAGACTGGAGAATACACTGGACCTCATCTTCACTAACAATGATGATCTGATAGGAAATATTATCAAGACCAATATACTCAGATCACAACATAATAGAGGTTCAGACATATATGCACAGAGCCCAGACCAACAAAATGTGATCAGTCATGAAGGAACCTTCACCAAATTTATCTTCAATAGCAAATATAAACAGTGGGACCAAGTCAACCAGGTCCTAAATGATATAAACTGTGAAGATATCACAAGCAACATGGACCAAACCTATGTCTAGAAAAAATTAACTCTGTGGCACTCGAGGTATGCTCAAGGCATATTCCTTTGAGGAAAAGGAAGAGAGATAAAATAGAAAGAGAGGTGCTTCCTATGCAGGTGAAGGTGAAGAATAACAGATTGGCTAAAAGAGGCAAATATATCTGTAATACGAAGGGAGACACCAGTCAGAGAAATAGCAAACATTAAAACAAGCTAAAGGAATCTTGCTGGAGTCAAGAATTGCGGGAAGAACTAAAAGCCAAAAATGAAATTGAAAGAAACCCAAAATATTTCTTTTCTTATGCTAAATAAGTCTAAAACAACATTCAGTATTCGGCCCCTACTTAGATGAGACTGGTCCTACACAGATGACAGCAAGGAAATGAGTGAGCTACATAAGTCCCAATATGACTCTGATTTTAGCGAGCCACTAACCAGTGAATTTTTGTATGAGCGACATAAAAAGAATTTGGTAGATTCAAACCTATCTGATATGCTGACACCAGATAACTTCAAAAAGGTGATAAATGCAATGCCCATGCACTCTGCCCCAGGCTCAGTCTTGTGGAATTATTCTCCTCAAAGGAGGTTCCTTGATGCTGGTGAGGGGCTCTTGATCTAGGGAATTGGATCTGTGCTCCAGTTCCCCGAATTGAGCCTGAATACCTTTCACCCCCCCCATGCGCTGTATAATCCTATTCAAATTCAAAGTTTATTCTCTATAAGGATTACAATGCTGAGTTTACAGAATTTGGTTATTGTGTGGCTTACATGTAGTAAAATAATTACAAAGGGGGTCACTAGAACACCTAGCATGGCTAGGCATTTCGGGCAGACTTAGATTAATTCTTAAATTTAAAATATTACAAATTATGAGGTAGGTTGGTATTATGGCTAAGTGACTAAATACTAGTTTGTGAGTTTAGCAATGTGAATGCTTCTGTTTTGGCACAATACATAGTTTCAGTATTGGAGTATCACAGGCCAACTTAGGACTAGTTAGGATTCATTATTTTAAGATTGAGATTGATATTTCTGTTTATGGTCAAATGGGTGAGTGAGTGTAAGTGTGAACCACCAGGTGGTATTCGTGTAATTAGTTGACGGGGTGTATCAGGGAGATAAGATGTTTTCTAATGGTAGTTTTGAAGGTGTTGAATGTGTCTGCAGTTCTAGAGTTTTCAGGTAGAGTGTTCCAGATTTTAGGGCCTTTGACATAACATTGAATTTTTGTAAAGGTTGTCGGACACGGGGAATGTCATAGAGATGTTTGTGTCTGGTGTTATGCCTATGGGTTCTGTCACAACTATCAAGAAAGCATTTTAGGTCAAGGTTAATATTGGAATTTAAGGTCCTGTAGATGTAGATTGCACAGTAGTAAGTGTGGATGTACTGAACAGGGAGTAAG